CTAAATGGTTTCTTAGACCCCGCACCAACTTGTTTATAAACTTACGCTAAGTCGTGATCTGACAGCCGTGTGTGACCAATTTGAAAAAGAAAATCCATTTAAACAATATATTTTTTAATAAACGGTCACCAGTTACTCCAGTGGATCCAAAGCAATCCCAGTTTTCCAGAAAAATGAAATTCATTAAACGTGCATGTCTGTCTCTAAGTGCGATGGAAATGTTCGTGATGACCGACAAATAGTACTGGACAGCCGTTTCGTCCTGTTTGAGACTATCTAACCTTACGTGTTTTTGTCCCTGTAAGGATTTGAACTGCAAATCTTCGGGTAGGAACTTTAAGCCGTTACCCCCGTGCTACACGGTCGCCGGTCATCACCATGTGTGAACAGCTCAATCAATTTAGACGGTGAATGTTTGGATTAACCCATTCGGTTTTTCACGAGTAACAGCCACTGTTAACAATAAATGGAGTGTGGGTTTCACTTCTAGGGAAATCACGAATTCCTACCAGTGAAATGCATTTACACGAGATAGAACTCTTTGTGATGACCGATCTCAGCGGTAAGCTTATCAAGCTCCAACCCAAAGGTTTACGTTTCGAGTCCTGATAGAGACACAGAAAGTACGCACAGTTGACGAGCCCTAAACAGCACGAAACTACTGTCGAGAGCCCTTTTCAGGTCGTGAACAAGATTCTATCCCACTGAAATGCATCATGTATAGTGCCTGGATGCTCTTCTCGGTGTCGTGTACCAGGATTAGTCAACATTCAGACAGAATTCCAAGATAAAATGTTCAGAGTTGCTCACAGTTGCACGCTTGAGGTCCCACACCCTAGATCCTCAGCAGTGCTTAATACCTCTGTCACTTTGGAAGACCATATTAAAGCTCTTTATCATGTCACACATGAGATGCATGTGTGTGTGAATAGGTCGAGACCTTATGGTATAATGTTTTTTCGCATTTATATGAATAATTCCCCAAATTCGAATTCATTCACTTACCACCAAACAGTTCAAAACTGAATTCAATTAAAAACTTGTGAAATTGTTACCTGTCAGGTCGGAGTGGAATTCTGTACAGTTCAATAGCCTCGGAGGGATTCAAACCCACGCATGGAAGCCACCCACGCTTCCGAATGCCTCTGTGTTATAGGTTAGTTGCATCTAATCTCAGGCAACTCAATTTAAGGGTCGATTTTCAGTGTTCATATAAGACTTAATGCAGCATCATCGCAATGAATTTTCAACGCTTGTCCGTCCCCAATCCACTCTCCGAGCTGCAAATGAGTTCACATCGGGAGTTCAAGTTGGGAGGATGAACAGACAACCGATTACCAGCTACGCACACCTGATAAGCGGCAAACCCGCGAAACCGGTTGTGTGCCTCCAGGAAGTTTTGTCTAGTCATTCATGTACTACACTATATATTGTTACATTCCTAGACACATACAGGAGCAGGCAAGAAAGGTGTGACAATGCAGGACAGTAAGTGCATGCGGTACATGCAATTGTGGTGCGGCCAATTCAGGCATTCAAGTGGGGTAGGAACTAGATATAGCGGACAGCACAATAGAGAAATTTGATCGTTTAAAGTGCATGGATCTTATAATCAAGCTAATCGGTGTGAGTCGCACTGACTTATGTGCTGCAGAACGCAATAGTTACCGATTAATTAACAATGTAGTTAACGTATTGATCAATGCTAGAGGGACAACAACGATATAATCCGTTGAACCCTCTGAAAATGTCATGGCAATATACCACCTACTCATAAGTAGTTCAATCAGTATAATGGTAATAGCTATAATAAATGCTCTGAATTTCATGGTTGAAGAATATTATTAACGTTTGACAATGGAATTTTTGTCTTCATCATCATTAAAACGTTCCCGTGTCGGCAGGAAAAGTTTTGTTGTGATAGTCAAAAACACCCGTTACTACAGTTCCTTCAGAGGATCCCAAATAATATCCACAAGTCATCCTCGATCGTAAAGTAGACGGTCGATTCCATGAGTAACAATAACAACAGGGAATTTACGAAAAAAGAGCTTAATCTAATCGAAATCGGTTTCTTAAATTTCATACACCGGAATGCGAGTCCATCTTTGCACCCACCATACTTCGTTATGTGCCCACTGTGGACGCAAACATTTGATTCCATGGAGGCTTCGTCTTCCACTTGGAGTGAGAACTGAAGAGATTTAATATCACATCCCCGTTAGAGCTATAGAGGCAATGGAAGCATATGGTGTTATTTTAAAGCCCGTTTTTGATGATGTGAAACACCCGTTCTACTGATAACCTCATATGCGAAACGAGGAGGAGACGGCGGCTACGGTCAACTTTCACCTTTGTTGAAAGGCTCTTTTAGTGGCTTTGAAAACTCATGGTTTTGTGTTAAGTGTTGATCCTTTTTGTAAGTTGGTAAGCCGTTGAATCCGAATACATCTCCGATACCAAAATGTTCTAAACGCACTGATTTACAAAATCTGATTAGAAAACTATGAAATACGTAGCGCGTCAACTACAGATAGATCTGAGCGTTCAGCAATCGATCTGCTGAAGAAGTGGAGACACTAGTTAAACGTTTAATATTCATTTCATGAGAGGGTTCTTACACAAATCTGCTCTCTCAAATGCCACTGTGGATTCATCTTCCTTTGGACTGAGACAGAAAAATTCAAAAATTCTTAGTTACCATCCACAGTTGAAAGGTGCAATTAAACAGTAACTTTTCCATTATTTATGCANCACTTTTCCCACATAACTTATGCGTCCCAATGAACTCTTCACGCTTGGATCACGTGGATTCCTGATAAGAATGGTTGCATGTGATACGAAATTGAATGTTGATGAAGTTTACACAAATAATTGCCTAGAAAATTGCATCTTGCGTGGGTTCACATGTGTGTGTGTGTTTGATGCACCGACATGTTTGTATGATCCTGAACAATAAAATGGCACAGAGATCGCAAATATCGTTTACTCTATTTTGG